TAGTGAGACTTAAGCATTCTGCCACCATGCCCTGCGCTGAAGAAAAACAGGATTGCTTGACTTGCGTGATACATGATATTGATGCTATATAGATACTTTGACTTTGTATCACTTGTGCTCGTGCCACACAAAGCGTATCACCCTCTCATTGATCAATCCCTATCGCCTTCGGGATCTTCGGAATGGTCTGCGCACTATCTGGCGGGTCCTGCGGTGTCCTCCCACTGCGGTGTGCCGTGTGATCCCTTCGGGGCCCGTACTCCACTCCTTTTCGGAAAGGTGCATCTCACTGATTCAATCGTTCTGCAGCCGGAACCAGCTTCTGATCAAGTGTTTTTGCGCGAGAATGCTGAAATTCAACTGCCGAGTTGCATAGAATTGTAGTTTCCACAAAGTAATTCATGTGCGTTTCTGAGTCATTCATGCATCGGTTCCCTTTTTGAGCCGCTTTTTCTCCTTCTCGCGTTTTGTCTTTCTAGGTTTTCGTTCGTTGCTAGAGGCTGGTCTTCTGCTCGTTGCTAGAGGCTTGTTAGGTTGTAGTGGAGGCTTTTTCAGAGTGCGCCGACTTACCGGCTTGTTGTGTGTGTCACACCCTGCCCCAAGGGTTGTCCACCGAATGTTTCAGCAGGGGAGTGGGGCGCGGTCTTGGAGTCACCATTCAACGAAGACACTCCTAGTACTGCGATGATATCCGGAAGGGACGCCTTCTGGACGTACCTGCTCTTTTGTGATGTTTACAAGCTGTTACTACTCCACTCTTCCTTTAGTGCGCCTGTGTTGAAACATTCCTGGTTTACGGACTTATCGCCATACAGTTCTGCAAGTCAAGGTCTAGCCGCTGCAAGGTAAAGGGCTAGTGCATTGGTGAAGCAGTTTCTGAAATAACGCTCGACCAGCTGAGCTCTCTATCTAAATGTGTGTGGGTTGTTTTGACGAGGTTGGGGTGGTTTGTAAGCCCGGCATTTCTATCGTATATAGATCTTTTTGCTACGTGTCGATGGTCCTTCTTTGCGAAGAGACTTGCTTGTTTGGTGGACTTCCCTTTTTGTGGGGATACTCAGATGACGGATGTGCAATGTATGAGACAGATTGCGCACACAAATTAATTTGTTTGTATTGTGCTACATGCAGTAAAACGGTAAAACTCATATGTCTTTCATTGCTGCCTGTACACAGGATGTCACTGCATGTTTGCCATGAATGACCTGGCAAAGGTGTGCGAATGTTTTGATTTTGGTTCAAGCTACTGCTATTGGAGCAGTGTTCTTCACTTTATTTCCTTTCATCATGTCGTTCTCCTCATTATTTCAGTCAAGGAAAGCTCGCACTGAGTTTGAGATCACGCTGTCGCGGTGCAGCTATACTGGAGCTTTCCTCTCCGTGCACGAAGCGGTCTGGAACATCAGAGCTGGAGGCCTGTCCTGGAATTCTTATGACTTCTGTGTCAACATGATGCTCATTCTGTCGGAGATCGCGCTCTTTCTCTTCAGCATAGCGTGCCAAATTGGTTTTACCTACTATTTGAACCTTCAAATGCAGCCTCCGCCTGATGTTTGCACCTTGCACACAAGCCGGGGCCTTCAGTGGCTAGGGGCAGCTGCCTTCGTCGGGAAAGTGCTCCAGGATGTATTTGAGACATGTGAGATGCTTCTTTGGTTCCTTGTCGCCGACCGCATCGAGAAGGATCTTGCAGGTGACCAACCAGAGAGCATCGAGTTAAGTGACAGGGTCGCCGGAATCCTTTTCGTGGTGCTTCCCAAATTCGCCATTGCAGGTTGGCTCACGTGGGTCGGTGCACGGTTCGTACTGCTCTCCTCAGATGACACTCAAATCATCGTGAATTGCCTTGCAATGACCTTTGTGATGGACATCGATGAGATTGTCCACAAGACCGCCTCAAGCCAGTATGTGAAGCAGAGCACAGAGCACCTTAAAGCGTGGTCCATGCCTCTCAAACCTGAATATGTGAGATTGGAAACCGTCATGGCGCCGGTCATTAAAGCTGGGCTTTGGGCGTTTGCTTGCTTGGTACTCATTGCCGATCTTCCCCGTTGCAACCAGCCTCCAGGGCCTCCAGGGCCTCCAGGGCCACCCAACCGATAGTGAGACTTAAGCATTCTGCCACCATGCCCTGCGCTGAAGAAAAACAGGATTGCTTGACTTGCGTGATACATGATATTGATACTATATAGATACTTTGACTTTGTATCACTTGTGCTCGTGCCACAAAAAGCGCATCACCGCATCACGGCCGTCTCGATATCCGACCGGACTCGTCCGATGGGTTGCTGTGCTCGCGATCGGCGCGGTGGAGGAATCCATGAACAGACTGTCGGGTGAAAGTTGCGGTTTGCTTTGGTTCGCATGGCATAGCATATCTGGAGAAGTTGCCTTTCCTGGCAGAGCAGACTTTTAGACCGGGACCATGGCCAGGCTACGGCCGAAGCCTGGCGACCGCCTGATGGCAGCGTGCGCCCGGTCCGGTGCGCCCAAAACACGACGGTCTACGCCACGGCCGAACCTTGAGGGATGGCCGCGCAAGGTTCGTTTTTGCGTGGCCGCCTTCACGCCCTCTGCATTGACGAATGATCTGATGTGGACTGTGAAACTCAGCAGCTTTTGGCCGTGGAGACATGTTATTTTCTGAGCTCCCCCAAGCCATGAAGGATGAATATTCCTGACTTGTCCAAACCCGCGTTCGATTGTGTTTTAGCATTCCGGATGAACTGTGAAGTCACTTCAAATCCAGCTTTACTTTCTTGAGTTTCTGAGGTTTGAGAGCCCTTACGGGCGCAAATTGACTCGAACCCCCCCACAGAGGATGCTGCCGCTACCCCAGTCAGATCAGGATGTTGAAGATCCAACCAGTTAGCAGGGCCGTCATTGCAATTTTAGAAATGAAGAAGGCATCGGCTTCGGCAATTTTTATTGTGGTTCTTGATTTGGGTGTTGACAGGTATACCCGTATACCCGGAAAGGTAGGTTTGAACATGATTGAACTGCTTACTTTTCTCTTTTCTGACATAGATTCATCAAACCAAACTTGAACTGTTTACTTTTTTCCTGACATAGATTCATCAAACCAAACTTGAACTGTTTAATTTTTCCTGACATAGATTCATCACACCAAACTTGAACTGTTTACATTTTTTCCTGACATAGATTCATCAAACCAAACTTGAACTGTTTACATTTTTCTCCTGACATAGATTCATCAAACCAAACTTGAACTGTTTATATTTTTTTACCTGACATAGATTCATGAAACCAAACTTGAACTGTCTATATTTTTCTCCTGACATAGATTCATAAAACCAAACTTGAACTGTTTACATTTTTTCCTGACATAGATTCATCAAACCAAACTTGAACTGTTTACATTTGTTTTCCTGACATAGATTCATCAAACCAAACTTGAACTGTTAACATTTTTTCCTGACATAGATTCATCAAACCAAACTTGAACTGTTTACATTTTTTCCTGACATAGATTCATCAAACCAAACTTGAACTGTTTACACTAGTTTTCCTGACATAGATTCATAAAACCAAACTTGAACTGTTTACATTCTTTTCCTGACATAGATTCATCAAACCAAACTTGAGCTGTTTACATTGTTTTCCTGACATAGATTCATCAATCCAAACTTGAACTGTTTACATTTTTTCCTGACATAGATTCATCAAAC